GGGTTTGCTGGAACCACAAGCAGTTCTGTCTAAGTAAGGTTGAGCAGCTACCGTTGGATCATCTGGTTGGGATGAGAAGTAGAGTTGAGTGTCATCAGCATAGCAGTGATAAGAAAAGCCATGCTTCTGAATGACAGATCCTAATGACGACATGTAGATGGAGAAGAGAAGTGGTCCCCGCACTGAGCCTTGAGGAACCCTAGTAGCAAGAAGTTGTGACTTAGAAACCTCACCCCTCCAAGACACCCCGAAGGACCTACCTGAGAGGTAGGACTTGAACCACAGGAGTGCGGTTCCTGAGATGCCCATCTTCATGAGGGTGGACAGGAGAATCTGGTGGTTAACTGTGTCAAAAGCAGCAGACAGATCCAGCAAGATGAGTACTGAGGATTTGGAAGCTGCTCTTGCCAGTCTCAGGGCTTCAGTAACCTAGAGCAGGACAGTCTCAGTTGAGTGGCCGCTTTTGAAGCCAGATTGTTTGCTGTCCAGGAGGTTGTTCTGTGCAAGAAACAGAGAGTTGGTTGAACACAACTCGCTCAAGTGTGTTTGCAATGAATGGAAGAAGGGATACCGGTCTGTAGTTTTCTAAAAGTGCTTGATTTAGAGAGGGTTTTTTAAGCAGTGGGCTTACCCTAGCCTGCTTAAATGCTGTGGGAAATGTACCAGTGTGAAAAGAGGTGTTGATAATTTGAGTAAGCGAAGGTATGACTGAAGAAGTAATGGTCTGAAGGAGGTGAGTGGGGATTGGATCAAGTGGACAAGTAGTAGGATGATTGGAAAGGATAAGTTTGGAAACATCCGTCTCCGAGAGTGGAGAGAAAGTCAATTACAGACATACCTGTTGATTTCTTGAATGCAATGGCCAATCAGAGGTGTTTAAGTCAAAATCCACTCAATATGGCTCAAAACGCCTGAGTTTTTTGTTCAGAGTGGAGTTTTGCGTGCTCATCATTAAAACAAAGTGTAGACCAGATGTAAGATATTCATTGTGTTGTGTATTGTGTAGATCACTAAAGTGACAGATTTGAGTGGTTATAAAGGTAGCGGTGTTGGTGCACTTTCTAGGCTAAATTATTCAGGCATAATTTGAATGAATTAAAATTGTTTTTCACGCTGCTAAGAGGACCTGTGGCCACATGCACACTGCAAATCAATCCACATATAAATGCGAGATTCACTCTCGAAATTGCAATGCTTGACATGTAATAATAACCATAGCTATAGATGGGACAAAAATAATAAATGCCAAAATAGATTATTACGGCTAGAGCACTAATTTCAGAAGCACCCTTACTGATTGATTAACTGTATTGAAGCAAAATATCTCATGTTAATTTATATAGCTACTCAACTTTGGAACAAGTTGCTCAGGAAACCTAAATCCAATAGTAAACCACTTACTTCAAATTTGATGCGCACTGGATGAAAAGTGCCATGTTATCACATTCAAGGCAAAAGTCCAACATCTAATCACCTTACAGGCAAAAAGTTTGCTGGGTGTCAATGAGTTTTGCTGTAAAAACATGTATTTCTCTAAATGAAGCATAGACTTTATTCAGTCCACAGAAAGACAAATGTATTACAGAAAAATGTCTATACACACTTTTCCAGCCGAGGTTGAAGTCATTGTACATTAACAATGATGCGAGACAAATATTATGTGCTTCTCGTGCAATGTGCGATCAACTTTGAACTTATTCTTCTGTATCTTGCAACCAACGTTAATATTCTCTTATTATTGAACATTTATAAATGAACAGTGTGCCACCCTGGACTCCCCTCTGGCTCCGTCACTGATCCTATCTTACCAAAATATTCCAGAATGCCATAGTTATTCATTACATATTTTGACTTTTTAGCAGCATTTTAATAAGTGCAAAAGTCGATGAGTTGTTAGGTAATGTGGAGAAAAGCAATGCCTGAGGATGTTAACTCTGTTAAACACCATGAATCACATCGTCTAAAGCCAAGTAGCCAATTCTGCTCCTGGAGGGCCAACATCCTGAAGAGTTTAGCTCCAACTTGCCCCAAGCACACTTGGCTGGAAGTTTCTAGTGATCAGGTGTGTTTAATTGGGGCTATACCCATCACATCTCAAATTATATGTTTGTGATCAATAACATTCTGTGGATTTTTGGAATACAATTGCCTACTCTTTTACTTGATATGGCTATTTTCATAACTAGAATTTTATGTATTCTAAATATACAATTACATAATATTTGCATATTTTTTCTAATATTTTCAGAATTATTTTCCCACAGTATTGGAATGGTGAGATGAATTAAAAGTGCTGTTTTACATGTTCAGGTAGTGGATGTAGTTCAGAAGAGTACATCACTTTCTCAAAAGCGTCCGGTAAGGTTCTCACAGAAAATACACAAGTGTCACAGTGTCTGTATGTACTAACCATAAAAATCAAGTTTTTAATAGTCATGCTCATTATCTTTTGTCAGTGCTGAGGTGTGCACACAGATAATTACTGTAGTACCGCAGGGATAATGTGCATGTGAATTTTTTTCTGGTATGAGGCAGTTAACTGACAAATATCTAGCCTGTAAACAATCTAAATATAAAACAATGAAACCCATGTGATCAGAAAACACGGGCATATCTTTTTCCTTTTTTCCCCCCAACCCCTTTTCAAGGCTATTCTGTGTCCACAACAATATTTGAAGACCCGTTTCCACTTGTTTGTGATTTATTGGAATTCAATTTTACTTGTAATATATTTTAGCGCTTGGCATAACTAGAAAAATTATCATAAAAATAAGTATTAATAAAAATGTATGAAATGTCCATGGAGTTATAGGATTTTATTTAGACTTTTTTAGAATTAGAAATCACACTTTTATAATTATTTATAAGGGGGGAAACTGAGGGGGTGAATTAAAATTTGTTTTAGCTTATTTTATTGCTTGTCTTTGTTTTAAATATTTTTAAGTGAACTTGAAACCCTCTTAAAAGTTTACTGAGGTCCCCTGGTTGAGACCCACTGTCTTATACTATAGACATGGACACTTCTAACTGCAGAGTAACATTTTACTCTCAATTTTTTTTTTTTAATTTAAAGGAATAGTTCCCTCCAAAAGAAAATTTGTTGAAAAATGACTCACCCTCAGGCCATCCAAGAGGTAGAGGTTTGTTTCTTCATCAGATTTGTAGAAATGCAGCATTCCGTCACTGTCTCAGCAATGGATGCTCTGCAGTGAATGGGTGCCATCAGAATGAGAGTCCAAACAGCTGATAAAAACATCACAATAATCCACAAGCAATCCACACCACTCCAGTCCAGCAGTTAATGTTTGAAAAGACATGTTTGGAAAAAATAAATCTTTTAAACTGTCGTTTCTGGCCAAAATACGAGACCATCCCCTGTTCAGACAAGATGATTTTTCACTAAAGAAAGCAATATTCTCGATTTGTATCGACTTGTATATTAGCTGGAAAGAACAGTTTGCAAGTTTTAGCTTATTTTATTGCTTGTCTTTGTTTTAAATCTTTTTAAGTGAACTTGAAACCCTCTTAAAAGTTTACTGAGGTCCCCTGGTTGAGACCCACTGTCTTATACTATAGACATGGACACTTCTAACTGCAGAGTAACATTTTACTCTCGATTTTTTTTTTTAATTTAAAGGAATAGTTCCCTCCAAAAGAAAATTTGTTGAAAAATGACTCACCCTCAGGCCATCCAAGAGGTAGAGGTTTGTTTCTTCATCAGATTTGTAGAAATGCAGCATTCCGTCACTGTCTCAGCAATGGATGCTCTGCAGTGAATGGGTGCCATCAGAATGAGAGTCCAAACAGCTGATAAAAACATCACAATAATCCACAAGCAATCCACACCACTCCAGTCCAGCAGTTAATGTTTGAAAAGACATGTTTGGAAAAAATAAATCTTTTAAACTGTCGTTTCTGGCCAAAATACGAGACCATCCCCTGTTCAGACAAGATGATTTTTCACTAAAGAAAGCAATATTCTCGATTTGTATCGACTTGTATATTAGCTGGAAAGAACAGTTTGCAGTAAAAAATGTCTTAACGTTGGATTTCTTTCTTTGAAACAGCAGCTTTTCACTTCATAAGACATTAACTGATGGACTGGAGAGGTGTGGATTACTTGTGGATTATTGTGATGTTTTTATCAGCTGTTTGGACTCTCATTCTGACGGCACCCATTCACTGCAGAGGATCCATTGCTGAGACAGTGACGGAATTCTACATTTCTCCAAATCTGTTATGACGAAAAAACAAACTCATCACCGTCATTGATGAGGAGGAGTACGTTTTCAGCAAATTTTCAATTTTGATTAAACTATTGGGTTTTTACAAAATACTTTTCATGTAGTGGCTCACTTAAAATACTTTGAAAAATTAACAACATGCAATGACATAATAAAGATAAAGCTGCGATAAAAACATGAAAACACATTTCCACTCAGCCTATGTTGAGCATTCCTACAAAAAAAATAAAAAATCTGAAGTAGCATATATAAAAACAAAAAAGACATGTGAAATGCAAGCTCACAACAGTGGTGTTGATGGTGATTGCCAGAGCATTGCTGTGTGTTAGGGTGTTGTGGGGGGTTACTAGGAATATGTAAAAGAAATAGGCCCATTTTCAGACCACTTTTCACATCCTAACACACTCTTGGGCTACATACCACAGCATGCACCTTGAGACGTAGTTCACGTCCTCCTCAAATAAATGTGTTTGTAAATACAGGCCCAGGCTTGAAACAGACTTGTAGTGAGCATTGTTTGCATATAGGTAGCAGCCAAAAGTGCTCATTTTCACTTGACAGATGGCAAGCCGAGCTGTCGGTTTGTCTTCTTTTAGCTGAAGGGAAAACTGCTGTGAAAGCTCACTCGCTGTTTGCTGCGGAGTAGCCACTCCCAGGCTGCTGCCCTGAAGGGTTTTTGTGTTGATAGATGACTCATTGTATTCCCACACACAAACACACACAAACACATCGATGCACAAAAAGGTGTGTGATGCAGTCTCGTTTTACATGTAATCCCAGTTAAGGTGATAGCCACAGGTGCATTTGGAGAGCGCTTGCAAACAGGAGCACAGCAGAATGACGAAGAGCACTTTATTCCTGATTCTACTTGCCGTGAGTAACCTTTTTTTTCAATGAGTTAACTTTAATCGTCATTGTTAATAATTTTATTAACAATGGTGACTGCTCTTTAATCTAATTTAGTCTGTATTGTATCCTCCGGTCACTTTTTGATAAAGTGTTGAAAATGGTCTATTTGGAGCTTTTAGAAATCTCACATATAATACAACCACAATAAACCAGAAAAATAATATGCGAATGATAAGAAGTGATGCTAAACGTATGAGTGCAGACATATCTGTACATGCAGAATCAAGTTAATTAAACTAAATTTAAGAGAAATACTACAATTCTATTTATCAATAAAACATTAAACGCATCCGAAATTCAGGATGTACGTCAGATCTGTGGGAAATATAATACTGGCGATCACAAAGGAAGAGTGTCGTGGTTTAGCATGCACTAGGTACAAAGAGTCATATGTATGTTGAGGAGGAACTATATTACAGTCAAACGTGGAACAGATTAATCCATGGTTTATGAAATGCTATTCTTATCAATTGACATTTCTATAGTGACAGATGACGTTTTTAAGTGATTTGTTTACCTGTGATTTTGCTTCATTCTGTTTTCCATAGTTAGAGCAGTGTCCGTTTCACTTTGAGTGGTTTTAATTTACGATTTAGCTACCATGCTTTTCTTCTAAAGACTTCTACACTTTTAGAAATAAAGGTTCTTGGCATTGTGATGATTCCATGAAGAACATTTAACATCCGTGGAGTCTTTCCATTCCACAAAATATTCTTTATAGTTGAAAAAGGTTTTATGTTCTTCACATGTAGAAACAAAATATTAATAGAACTAATCAGTGAAAGGTTCTTTGTGGAACTAAAAATGGCTCTTCGTGACAACACAATGAAAATCTCATTGTTCAAAAGTGTCACTGTTCATCTTTAGTAGGTGGTAAAAACTAAATAGCATTTAATGTGAGGGAAACAGTTTGGTGGTGTCTTGCAGGTACAAACAGCATTTCCCTTACCAAAAAGTAGTATACTTCAAGTTTATTTGAGTAAGTATACTTAAGTAAAGTTCAAGTATATTTTTAAGTATACTTTATGTAGTAAGTATACAAATATCAGTGCACTAGTAGTATACTTGCAAGTGTACTATTTCAATACTCTTTGGGACTAAATTGGCCCACTTTCTAGTATATAAAAGTATACTTTAAGTATAACAGTAGTAGACGTTGAGTACACAACTAGTTTACATCTATGTTTTTAGTTTGTACTGCAACTATACTATAAGTGAACTTATAGATATACTGATAGTTTACTACAGGGGCGTAGATTGCGCGGGGGACGTGGGGGACGTGTCCCCTTCACTTTTAATATCATGTAAATTCGTCCCCTGCACTTTTTCGGGCAAGTGTGTTCTCATAGAGGTTTTCAAGAGCCAGTGTGAATAAATATAGATTTAAATTCAAAGAGACAGGATAGTCTGTGCATGATCTGATGTTTTATTCGGACCCAGAATAAGGCGAGACATTTAAAATTTTAATTTATAGTGATTTCAAAGCTAACTTTTTTGCATCATTATTCCAGTCACACTATCCTTCAGAAATCATTCTGATATTCTGCTCAAAAAGCATTAATAATAATAATAATAATAATAATAATTAAAAAAGGTTTCTTGAGCAGCAAATCAGCATATTAGAATGTTTTCTGAAGATCATGTGACACTGAAGACTGGAGTAATGATGCTGAAAATACAGCTTTGATCACAGGAATAAATTACATTTGACTATATATTCACATAGAAAGCAGTTATTTTAAATAGTAAAAATATTTCACAACATTACTGTTTTTGCTGTACTTTGGATCAAATAAATGCAGGCTTGGTGAGCAGAAGAGACTTCTTTATAAAACATTAAAAATCTTACTGTTCAAAAACTGTTGACTGGTAGGTTATATATATTACAGAAATGTTATATTGTAATGTTTTATATATATATTATTATTTTTTTTTTATATATATAACATTTCTGTCCCCCTCACTTCTGAAATGATGGTTACGCCCCTGGTTTACTAATTAAATACTTTCAGCAGTTTTAGTACACCTTGAAGTATAGTCTCAGTAAACTACTAGTTTAGTAGTTTTATCCTGCAAGTATACTCGTAAGTTTTCTTTTAGTGAACTTTACATCATACTACTATGTCCCTATTTAGGTATTAATTTGTATATATTTTGTTACATGAATATCTGAACATACAAAACATCAAAAGAACAGGGTATCTGCTTGTAAACAAAAACATTTTATTCTAGCTTCATGCATTCTTTTTTTATAAGCACTTGAATAATGTGGTAATTTTCATAAAAAAATAAAATAAAGAAAGAAAGAATGATAATCAAAACGTAGATAAAGTCGATCAACACCCCAAAGCTTGACAGTCATTATTAAGGCCCTACCTCTTCATGGGTCGACATTTTATTCCATAACGTTACACAGTTTTGATGCTGTTTTATGTCTGATGATCGTGTTAGATTACATGTGGAAGCGTCTGTTGTTTCGGTTTCTTCTTCGCTTGTGTTTTGGAAATTCTGTACAGAAGGTGTGTAATAGCGCCCCCTACCGTATAACAATGCAAACACGAATTCCAGCAGCTCAAATATATGTGACCCAGGACCACAAAACCAGTCATAAGGGTCAATTTTTCGACATTTGGATTTATACATCATCTGAAAGTTGAATAAATGAGCTTTCCATTGATGTAAGGTTTGTTAGGATAGGACAATATTTGGCTGAGATACAACTATTTGAAGGGTTCAAAAAAATCTAAATATTGCGAAAATCATCTTTAAAGTTGTCCAAATGAAGTTCTTAGCAATGCATAGTACTAATCAAAAATTAAGTTTTGATATATTTACAGTAGGAAATTGACTAAATATCTTCATGGAACATGATCTTAATATCTTAATGATTTTTGGCATAAAAGAAAAATCGATAATTTTGACCCATACAATGTATTTTTGGCTATTGCTACAAATATACCCCAGCGACTTAAGACTGCTTTTGTGCTCCAGGGTCACATATATAGACTTTTCTCAGTATAAGTCAAGTATACTTAAATGTCATTTTAAGTATATTTCTGAGAAGTACATAAAGCACATTTCTGAGACGTACATATAAAGTAGACTGAAAGTATACTTTCCTATTTTTTAGTTTAAAAGAAGTATACTAATAGCACACTTTAATAAACTTATTTTCCGTAAGGGTTGCATTGTGTCTATATAACCTTGCGAAAGCTTCACCACTAATTCCATGAAGTATTTCATGAATTAATAAGGCATGTTTCAGACATATATATATATATACACACATATAAGATACTATACAAACCCAGTTTGAATGAAAAAGAGAACCAGCTGCCTCAGTGCTTTTGGTGTTCACAGTGTTAGTGGACTTAAAAGAGGACATCACGTGAATCAATGGAACTACAAAAGGACTTACAAACAAACCGTACTCAGGCCACCTCACCAAACTTTTAGGAGGACCTTATAAAGGGTGGACCTTTATAATTATAAAGGGTGTTCACTAATAAAGGTTATACTGCCTGAATTGCACAGACAAATTAACACCCTAAGCCTAAGACATTTAAAGCTCTGCATTTATCCCATCCAAAGTGTGCACACAGAGCAGTGGGGCAGCCATTTTTTGCTACAGCGCCCAGGGTTGCATTGTGTCTATATAACCTTGCGAAAGCTTCACCACTAATTCCATGAAGTATTTCATGAATTAATAAGGCATGTTTCAGATATATATATATATACACACATATAAGATACTATACAAACCCAGTTTGAATGAAAAAGAGAACCAGCTGCCTCAGTGCTTTTGGTGTTCACAGTGTTAGTGGACTTAAAAGAGGACATCACGTGAATCAATGGAACTACAAAAGGACTTACAAACAAACCGTACTCAGGCCACCTCACCAAACTTTTAGGAGGACCTTATAAAGGGTGGACCTTTATAATTATAAAGGGTGTTCACTAATAAAGGTTATACTGCCTGAATTGCACAGACAAATTAACACCCTAAGCCTAAGACATTTAAAGCTCTGCATTTATCCCATCCAAAGTGTGCACACAGAGCAGTGGGGCAGCCATTTTTTGCTACAGCGCCCGGGGAGCAGTTGGGGGTTCGGTGCCTTGCTCAAGGGCACCTCAGTCGTGGTACTGAAGGTGGGAGAGAGCACTGTACATTCACTCCCCCCACCTACAATCCCTGCTGGTACGAGACTCGAACCTGCAACCTTTGGGTTACGAGTCCGACACTCTAACCATTAGGCCATGACTTCCCCCACGACTTGTGCGCGTAAACCTGACAGTGATACGTATTAATCTTTTCTCAGGCACTAAGAAGGGTTTCTATTTAATCGCTTGTTTGTTACCTCAGTCGTGGTACTGAAGGTGGGAGAGAGCACTGTACATTCACTCCCCCCACCTACAATCCCTGCTGGTACGAGACTCGAACCTGCAACCTTTGGGTTACGAGTCCGACACTCTAACCATTAGGCCATGACTTCCCCCACGACTTGTGCGCGTAAACCTGACAGTGATACGTATTAATCTTTTCTCAGGCACTAAGAAGGGTTTCTATTTAATCGCTTGTTTGTTTATTGATTGTATATTTCATTAATTAGCATCACCCTGTTTTTTGTCTATTCATCAGCTTGTTGACGTGGCCGCTTCCAGCAAAAAAGATACCAGCAATCGGGAAAAGCGGGTAGGTAATGTAAAAGACACAACATGGGACACAACTTAAAATCCCACTTATCATCAAACCACAATACAAGACTTAATTTAGATTTAAATACACATATATTACATAATGCAAGTAAAACATACTCACTATCAAACAGAAGATTTGAAAAATGAATCTTTCCATATTGGGTTTCATGAGTTCCACAAGCTCACACAGTGAGCTTTATGTATTTATTTTATTTATTGGATCATTTAAAGTATTAGCGATTGTTGTCCTAACTTAACATATCAACTCTGTCCTGACAAATTATAAAGGAATTTTTTTTTCTTTTCTTTTAGTTCCGTAGCCTGCTTCAGAATCAGAGAGGTGTTCCGTGTGAATCAGAAGAAGTTTGTCTGTAGCTTTTCGTATTACTGATCACTCATTGTCTCTCTCTCTGTCTCAAAGGATGCTGTTCTTATTCGTTCAAAGAGAAGATGGGTTCTGTCCACTATTGATCTGGAAGAGAACATGCCTGGACCATATCCTGCTTTAGTAACACAGGTAACTTTACTCCTCTTCGTGTCCCTCATAAAATCTCTTCACAAGCACTGTTTTCTCTTCTGTGCTGCTGTTTGGGTTGATTGTAATTTTATAGATAGCTTACATTTGCAAGTCTCTTTGGCATCTACTAAACGAATAAATGAAAATGTATACAGTATGTAAAGAACTATTTAGAAGTTCACTAGCAGATGACCTCAAAGCTTTGGACATAAAACTAAAATCCATATAACTCAATGTTGGTTTGATAGGGTATTGATTGATTGATTGATTGATTGATTGACAAACACCTTATTTGTTTGGAATTTGCTTGGTGAGCTCATCAACAATAATAACATACATTAACATACATACACATACATAAATACAACTATACATATATGCCCTATCAATTATAAGGAGTGAAATGCAGATGCATAGATACCAGAGGAATTAAGAGCATGAACCCTACATTTACAAATTAACAATCTTAATATTGGATGCAAATAAATGATCATAAATTATACTGTAGCTGTACACGATTCTCATTTATTTTTGGTTTACTTGATGCTAGTTGTACAATGACAAAAAGGAGGACAACAGCGTCAAGTTCCGCATCAAAGGAGATGGAGTGACACAAGGCCCAATTGGTTTGTTTACCATTGAAGAAAACAGCGGGATTGTATACGTACACCGGCCCATCGACAGGGAAATGTACCCCATCTTCCATGTAAGACAAAAAAAAAAGATTTGTTGATTTTGTCATGACATTATTGCTAACAACAGGAAGGACTGATTCGGTTTATTTTCGATGTGGATCATTGTGGCTTTTTGATTCTTTGGTAGGTGGACTTTGATGTGCTGGACAGGCTGACTGGAGACACATTAGACAAAACACTGTCATTTAATGTAGAAATAAAGGACAAGAATGACAATAGTCCTCAGTTCACTCCGAGCACTATCCACGCACCTGTTCCAGAGAACACACCTGAAGGTTACTGCATATATTTATATGAAGATAAAGTGTGTAGCTTTTTCTGTTATAGTGCTTTCTTTAATCATAGCTTAATATACAGTAATTTGTAGCGTGACTTACCTTGAAAAGTGTAAACACTGACGTTCTGTAGTGCTTTCAAAACATTGCTCTGTTTGTTTAAGCATCCAGATCAGCTCAATCCAACAACAAATACAACAAAAAATTTTAACAAAATACTAAACCAATTGCGTGAGTTTGGGGTGGGGCTAAACTGTTTTGCCAGCCAATGGCAGATGGGGAAGTGGTTTGTACGCTCTGGAACGGTACATATACACTGCCCCAGAGCAGCATTTGCACTCTTTTTTGTTTTTTTTTATATTTCTATTTGGCGACACAGAAATTGCATACTCTAATGCTGTTAGAAGTCTTATTGCGCTTGATCTTTTCAGATTAAAGAATTCATTGTAATATTCATACATACTAACACTTTTAAAAGTCAAAACTTATGCTACTTAAACTTGAAACTAAACTGTTAAAAATAAACGGCAACCAGAAAGATTGTTTTCTCTTTCTAATCATCCTTGTTTTAATAGGCGTACTCCAAGCAACATTACAAGCTCATGACAATGATCTGAAGGATACTCCTAATTCCCAGTTCACCATGAAGGTGGTGTCACAAGACCCTGCCTCACCAAAGCTTACCCTGAAGGACTTACCTTTTACCACTACAGTCAAACAGCTCGCCTTCACGGGATGCTTTGATTATGATGTGAGTAACTAATGCAGAATGCACATTTTCAGCATTTTTCAGTATTTCTCATCTCTTCTGTCTCCCGTATTTTAGAAAGCAAGACAATATAAAGTGCTAGTTGAAGCGAGGGATCAAGGCACACCCACAATGTCTTCAACTGCAACTGTTATTCTGGATATCATTGATTCCAACACCCATCCCCCAGAATTCAGTTCGGCCACGGTGAGTCAGGCTAGTCGCACAATCCCAGTTTAATATGCACACAACTGTAAGGAAGCCATGTGTAGATTGATGTGTGAGGAAAATGTAAACTCTGTGAATGTGTGATACTTTCCAAACATGCTGTCTGACATAGAAACATTGGGTCAGCCAATGGCGTGAGTTTGGGTTGACCAATGACAGAAGTGTTTAGGAAACCTGTTTGTAAACAGTCAGTTGGGTGCTTTGAAAAAATCTAGCAGTTTTTAATGCTTTTCTGTAGGATAGTGTACTTTCCCGCCATGCAACACGAAATACCTCTAGTTTTGTTTTCCTCCAGCTGTGCTCCATTTTCTGGGCTGCTCTCTTTAGGGTGCGAGTGTGCTCATTATACCATGGTGTCAGACTGTTTTAGCTATATGGAGTTTACACAAGACTAGATAATGATCTGAGATGTCATCGCTTTGCTGCAGATTTTCAACACCGTTAATCGTTAACGGTCACACCGTTAACAAAAGTGTGACCAATGTTTTCATAACTTAATGGGAACTTTAGAAAAAAAATTATTATTTTTGTTAGCTGGGTTTACCCTTAATAAATACTATGATTTAGAATGGGATCTGATATGATATACTTGGATATAAATGAATATGTGTGTGTGTAACAGTACAACACTGAAGTGATGGAAATGGAATTAAAGGAGATCCTACGAATCGGCATCAAAGACAAGGACACACCGAACACGCCTGGTTCAAGAGCGGTGTTCTCCATCCTGAAGGGTTTTAAAATGGCTTTTTAAAGAATGGGATCTGATATGATATACTTGGATATAAATGAATATGTGTGTGTGTAACAGTACAACACTGAAGTGATGGAAATGGAATTAAAGGAGATCCTACGAATCGGCATCAAAGACAAGGACACACCGAACACGCCTGGTTCAAGAGCGGTGTTCTCCATCCTGAAGGGTAATGAAGAAGGAAATTATAAGATTGAGACAGACTCCAAAACCAATGAAGGTGTGCTGTCTGTTATCAAGGTAAATGCCACTGTTCTCTTGAAATATTTCATACACTTCTTAGACAAGCTTAAAGGACTAGTTCATTGAAAAGTGAAAGATCTGTCATCATTTACACACACTAATGTTGATCCAAACCGCTTTGACTTTCTTTCTTCTGTTGAGCACAAAAGAGGATATTGGAGGAATGTTGGTACTAAAGAGATGCTGCTTCCCATTGACTTCCATAGTGTTTTTTTTCCCGAACTATGGAAGACAATGGCTACTCTCAACTGTTTGTTGATGACTTCACAGATTTACACACCTATTTATCACAGTTACTTCTTTCAGTACGCATGTTAGTTTTATATTTTGTCGGTGGGCTCAAAAACTGGATTGATTTAGAAAAAAGATGGACAGCTTTTAATATGCTTGTATTTTCACAGGGGAAGAATTTCGAGAAAACTGATATCACAGATCTGGAGATAGCAGTCGAGAACGAGGAGAAATTATTTCGGTGTGTTGATGGAAAGGCTGTAACAGGCCCCACACCAAAGCCAAACACCGCCAAAGTGTCAGTGAAAGTCACTGATGTGAACGATCCCCCTGAGTTTAAAAAGCAAATTGAAAAAGTTTACCGGAATGAAAACGGACCTCTGGGAGATGTGTTGTTCGTACCCGAGATCAAAGATGAGGACTCGGACGTTAACAAACTCAGGTGCGGTTGAGCTGCACAGCATCAAATTACCCATCAATTAAAATTTTAATTTTGACAATTTGTATGCTACTTTTAATTTATAATATATAAAACATCAAATTATATTGTTATATTATAAAATATAATATATATAAAATTAGATGCCAGTTTTATTATATACACAATCATTCAAAATTTTAGGGGTTGGTCAGATTTTCTAAGGATTTTGAAAAAAAAAAGCTTTGAAATAGTCTCTTCTGCTCACCAAGGCTGCATTTATTTTATTATATATATAGTAAAAACAGTGAAATATTATTACAGTTTAAAAAGCTGTTACTCCAGTCTTCAGTGTCACATGATCCTTTTGAAATTATTCTAATATGCTGATTTTCTGCTCAAGAAATCTTAATACTGTATATATATATATATATATATATATATATAGTAACAATATAAAAAGTATTTCCTGTCATTTTGAATCAAATTAATGCATCCTTGCTGAATGAAAAGTATTAATTTAGTTTAAAAAAAATCATACTGACCAATAAAGCATACAGTTTTAGTTACACACTCACACACACACAGGCGCACACACACACACAGAGACACTCACAGACACACACACACACAGGTTTGTTTTTATGGTTTATGGGGACTCTCCATAGGCGTAATGGTTTTTATACTGTACAAACCGTATTTTCTATTGCCCTACACCAACCCTACCCCTAAACCTACCTCTTACAGGAGACTTTCTGCATTTTTAGAATTTCCTTTTGAATTATGGGGACACTGAATATGTCCTCATAAATCACCTTCTCGTTGTAATACCTATGTCATACCCATGTTATTATACAAAGATTTGTGTCCTCGTAAACCACATAAACATGCACACACACACACACACCAGAGATGTAGAGGAAACTGGACAGTGATCCGACAGAGAGTAAAAGTGTTTTACAGTCTGTATGTGTATGTAGGTATGAGTTAGTTCAAGACCCAGCCAAATGGGTAAGTGTGGATTCGAAGACAGGAAAGATCACCACAGTCCAGAAGATGGACCAGGAGTCTTCATTTATCAAAAATGGCACCTACACGGTCGTAGTGCAAGCTATAGATGACGGTAAGCACTGAACTATCTGTTCTCAGTATGTTCAACACAATTCAAACTTTTGTAAAAGCATCGAAAGTCATTTAATGTTCTTAAAACACTAATTTAATCTCTGAACGCAGCTGTCACTGACTTTTCCCCACATGCTGTTCACAGGACAGCCTCCGGCTACAGGCACATGTACTGTAGTGGTCTACCTAGGCGACCAGAACGATAACGCTCCTTATCTCGTATCTAAAAACGCGGTCATGTGCGGGAACAAAGTCAATCGTGTGGATGTGAAACCAACAGACCTTGACGGCCCTCCGTTTGCAGGTCCTTTCACCTTCTCTCTGGGAGGAGAGGAAGAGCTGAAGAGTCTCTGGAAGCTGGATCCCACCACGGGTCAGGTTCATTTACTTCATTTACAGTTACACAGATAATGCTTGAGGACGTTTCTGGCTACATCAGTTGGGGGGGTTGCACAATAAAAAGAATTGTATTTTTGTGTCTAGTAAAAATATAAAAAACATGATACATTTACATGCGATTTGCATTAGGTACTTGGACTTATCCACTATTTCTTTGACTTTTACTAATTACGTTGATAAGAAGCTTTTTCAGTCACACTTTAGTTCAAGGGCAAATTCTCGCTATTAACCAACTATTAACTCTAACTTTTGCCTCAGTAAGCTCCTAATTTGCTGCTTATTAATAGTTAGGAGGGTAGTTGTTAAGTTTAAGTGTTGGGTAGGATTAGGGATGTAGACTATGCTGCTTATTAACAGTTAGGAAGGTAGTTGTTAAGTTTAAGTGTTAGGTAGGATTAGGGATGTAGACTATGGTCATGCAGAATATGTGCTGTATAAGTACTAATAAACAGCCAATATGTTAATAATAGGCATGCTAATAAGCAGCTAGTTAATAGTGAGAATTAGTCCCTATGCTAACGTGTTACCAATGAGACATACCTGAAATTCCCTGGCAACTAACTGAAATAAAATAAGTTTACATTTTATTTCAAGAAACAGAAATGCTTTGTTATGGTTTTAGTTAACCCTGTTTTCGTTATTTTAATATTGAGATACTATTATAGTTTGAATTAATAGTTTAAATTAGTATTATTATTATATTTTTGTATTCTTATTCTTATTATTATATTTTCAGTTTTTGATTATACTTAAAATTTTAGTAATTTTACGGTGCATTTTTGTCATTTTTTAGTTGTTGTTTTTAATATGTCTATATTATATTTGTTATTCATTTTTATTTCAGTTGTAGTTATTTTAGTACATCACATACTAAAATGGTACATTCAGTACCGTTAGGACTAAAATATACAGTCACACTTTAGTTTGGGGACCAAGTCTCACTATTAACCAACTATTAACTATTGTATGACTTTTGCCTCAATAAACTCCTAATGTGCTGCTTATTAATAGTTAATAAGGTAGTTGTTAAGTTTAGGTATTAGAGATGTAGAAAATGGTCATGCAGAATATGTGCTTTATAAGTACTAATAAACAGCCAATATGTTAATAATAGGCATGCTAATAAGCAACTAGTTAATAGTGAGAATTAGTCCCTATGCTAACGTGTTACCAATGAGACATACCTGAAATTCCCTGACAACTAACTGAAATAAAATAAGTTTACATTTTATTTCAAGAAACAGAAATGCTTTGTTATGGTTTTAGTTAACCCTCGGGGCGTAAGCAGATCATGCAAAAACGTAAAAGTGAGATTATACAAATTCATACAAATTAGCTACCAATTTGGTAAAATGTAAAATACTCAGATATTGCCATGAGTTTGCGTTGAGATCGGGCGACAGTTTTTTCTATTCAAAACACTACAACTCTTAATTCAAATGTTAGTAATAAAAAATATCGTAAAATCATGGTCATAAGTCACGTTGTTCTTTGGCGATGTGAAATATTGTCTGATTTTTGCTTTCTCTGACAGTATAACCTTCAGTACAACCTCCAGGAAATGTCCAGTGGTGGAGTGATGAGCATGGTGAGTGACGGCATCCGTCAAACTGAGACACATGGCTGTAACATCTGAGGCACGACAGACTGGTTTTAGGCATAAAATGAAGAAGACTGCACTCTTTCTGTTGTTAATCAAATGCAAATGCATGGTAGATTTACATGCTTACATTATGTCATTCAACAAACGTCCATCTATGCTAGTGCAGCCTGACGTCAGAACGCTTCACCGACACGATAAATATATCTATAGAATGCTTTATATTACTATTTTAAAACGAAATAATTCAAATTTAAAACAAAAACTCTTTCATTATGTAATCCATAAAGATGCATTTCTCTCTAAAGGCACGTCCAATGAGGAGATGGTCAGGTTCGTCAAATTCACTTAGTTTACTAACAAATAATTCAAGTATCCCTTCACTATTTTTTACTTTTTACTTTTTTATTTTTATTTGATTATTATTGATACATTTTTTGGGGGCCGCTGAGCTAAAATTGTGTTTGCATTCAGTAGCCTATATGGCAGCATTTTTGTGCCACATTGAAAAATAACTAAATAAATAAGATTGACGTCATAATATTTTAAGAATAAAGTTATGATAATAAAATCATGTTATATTGCATGAAGTTAATGTGAATATTCCGCCTATAGGCCTCCTCCTCCAAAAAAAAAAGTCTGTGGCTGTCATTCTTTTGAAATTTTTTCAAAACTCTGATTGATCGATTCATGAGACATTCATTTGTATTAAATTGTTCAGATTTTTTTCAACATACTTTTTACTTTTTTATTTTTATTTGATTATTATTGATACATTTTTTGGGGGCCGCTGAGCTAAAATTGTGTTTGCATTCAGTAGCCTATATGGCAGCATTTTTGTGCCACATTGAAAAATAACTAAATAAATAAGATTGACGTCATCATACAAATTTACAAAAAAAAAAAAAAGGTTGGATTTTAAGAAATGATTTTCAAACACTAATCAACTACAAAAGTACTGAAACTTTTTAGGGCATTTTAATTGTAGAAATAGATACAAATGTTAAATACAGAAATAACAAGTGAAATTAAATAAATAATCTAAAGTAAATATCGCTTGTTTTTAAGAATGAAAGTCGCCAGATGTCTCGCTCATACAGCTTGGCACGAACAGAACGGAACCTGGCAGAACACATTGAGAGGGTGAGTCCAATACACAAAACACCTGAAAGAAACCTGGAGTACATATAAAAGAGAGAGAGAGAGAGAGAGAGAGAAGAAACTTTTATACTACTAATTTTCACATATATATAAATATATATATATGCATAAACATACTCTACAAAAATGCTGTTATTTTAATGTCAATTTATGAATTAAAAATTAAGAAAAAATACTTGTAATACTGTATGTATAATACATTTATTTTAGTGTATTTAAAATATATTTACAGTACCATATAAACTTTAATTTGACAGTTCACTTTTTAAAAGTGTACTTAAGTGTGTTAAGTAACATGCAAGTGTCTCTCTCACTTAAGCAGCCTTTTATTTGATTAACATTACATTATCTGCAAGTACAGTTTTATAAATATGCTTCTTTTATACTATTAACTTATAACTTCTAATTACTTATAACTTATAATTTTATACTATAAAACTTTACATTTAAATTTAAGTTAAACGTAAATGTGAATAAACAAAGCTTTGTTTAATGTGATGATGGACTGCATGGTTTTCCTTTGACACTATTGGTGGAAAGGTGACCTTGCTTCAACTTGTTCTTAGTAGAAAATTCAGTGCACTGTCGCCACCTATCCCTCACATAGCACAACATAATATTAATGTACAATGACCTGCAGACCATGCAGACACCACAAGGTGGCAGCATCAGATAAAAAACACATTCACACTGTATCGGCATAAGCATTTTGATATTTCTCTTTCCATTATGTTATTCCATAGAAAATCAGCGGCTTTCCGGAAGAGCAGAGGGACTATCCAGCGTATTCCCCATATCAGTATGAATATGAGGGGAGGGGCAGTAACTGCCAGTCACTGGATAAGCTGACAGTCAGCAACCTCGGTGATAACCTGGACTTCCTGCACAACCTCGGGCCAAAGTTCAGCAATCTGGGTGGGATCTGTCAACAGTCAATGGAGAGCAGGAACGTCCGGCTGTGAAAGTGGGTGATGATTTGAGGCTTTATATTGCTCCACATTTCTACAATGCTTGTTCAGCTGAGCTGCAAAGGGGTTCCAGGGATTTTTTTTTTTTTGTGCTGTGACTTTTATTTTTTGGAGACAGTGCTCTAGGCCATTCTTGAATTTGAGCACCATGATACCTGTACAGGCACAGGATGATTATGGATATAAGATGTGAACATTACATCTTCAGTGCCAAGGCTGCCTGCCCTCAAGGAACTATGGGATACACTGTGCATTTGTGCTCACGGTGGATGTGTAAAAAAGCTTGTTGGGTGAAATGAAAACTTGTGTCTGCATCCCACCAGCTTGTCTGAAATGAGGCGGTTGGTGGCTTGGACTGTTGTGGTTTTGGCTGTGACCAGTTTGATGGCCTGACAGGCCGCCGTTCTGTTCGAAACCATTTTTTTTTTATTCTGCAAACACAAAGCCACACATCACAACCACTTATTTATGCAGATATTGTTTGTCTGGGGTTCTCCTGCACTTGCTGCCTTTAGCTATCATATTTGTTTTGTGCACTTTGACTTTGCACTGCAGAATCACTTGTGTATTTAAAGTGACAGTCCAGCCAAAAATGACAATTCTATCATTTATTAATCTTCAAATCAATCCAAACCTATACAGAAGCTTATGCCCACCACGGATTAAAATATATTGCAACTGATTCCTCAGCATTGAAAGTGTGTATCTCACAATTCTGACTTTTTTCTCCAAATTCTGATTTTACATCTTGGAATTCTGGTATTCCTCTCAGAACTTTTTGTTTTGTTTTGTTTTTAGACACCTGAACACATGCTCATGCTGAATTCTGAGAAACTCACATTTTTGAGAAAAAAATGTTGGAATTGCAAGATTAAAAAAAAAAAGCAATGACAATTATACATATCTATTCTGTGGCTGAAATAGGTTTCCATACAAACCACTTTCTTCTGTACAGGAACATGAATAAATGCTATGGAGGAAGTTGGAAAACTGAAAGCATTGATTTCCAACAAACCCATTGATTGGACAAAACAAAATATTTATTTTATATTTCATATTTCATAGAAGAAAGAAAATCATAAAAATTTTGAATAATGTGAGGGTGAGTAAATAATGACTGAATATTCATTTTTGAGTGACTGAGCATGAAAAACTGCAAAAGTGATTAAAGATGCAAAAGAACAAGCAGAAGCTATTTCGCAGAGCAATAAGGATAGAAAATGAAAGTAAAGATCAGTCATCATTCAACAGTATCTGAGAGTCTGGCAGGTGGCAGTAATGCACCGTTGATCATCATTACATCCCTGGAAAAAACCCAGGTGAAGAAAGGCCCTTTAAGTAAATAGGGATATTTACTTGAAGGGCCTTTCTTTTCTCCTGTTTTTTTCCACTAAGCAATGACAATTATACATATCTATTCTGTGGCTGAAATAGGTTTCCATACAAACCACTTTCTTCTGTACAGGAACATGAATAAATGCTATGGAGGAAGTTGGAAAACTGAAAGCATTGATTTCCAACAAACCCATTGATTGGACAAAACAAAATATTTATTTTATATTTCATATTTCATAGAAGAAAGAAAATCATAAAAATTTTGAATAATGTGAGGGTGAGTAAATAATGACTGAATATTCATTTTTGAGTGACTGAGCATGAAAAACTGCAAAAGTGATTAAAGATGCAAAAGAACAAGCAGAAGCTATTTCGCAGAGCAATAAGGATAGAAAATGAAAGTAAAGATCAGTCATCATTCAACAGTATCTGAGAGTCTGGCAGGTGGCAGTAATGCACCGTTGATCATCATTACATCCCTGGAAAAAACCCAGGTGAAGAAAGGCCCTTTAAGTAAATAGGGATATTTACTTGAAGGGCCTTTCTTTTCTCCTGTTTTTTTCCACTATAGGAAAGTTGAATGAAGAATGGCTGGAATTCATTTTTATCATGTTACATTTACATTACACACAATGTAGTGTTCATTTGTTTCTTTCATATTTCTCATTGTATTGTAAATCATTTTTATTTGTTTCACCCAATGGTTTTAAGGATTGATGATATATTTTTAATTTAGTCATCTTGATGGTTTGGGTGTAGGGTGCTCAGGGCCCGAGGCGTTGTCTGCAATGTTGACTTTCTCTTTGAGGAACAATCTCTCTAAAAATGTATGTGTAACATGATCTGATTTTTGATAACACTTTACAAAAATATTCAATAAGGTAACATTAGTTAATGCATTATCACAACAATTTTTACAGTATTTATTTATCTAGTTTAATGTTAAGTCACAAAAACGTTAATATAACTGTTTAGTATGAATTTATGTATCTTAAATGCTAAAACTGTATCAGTACATGTAGACTAGATGAATAAATGCTGTAAAGGCATTGCTAGTGTATAGTTCATGTTAGCTAACTGTATTGAACGCTATTGTAAAGTGTTAATGAACAGCATGTCATAAAGTACAGGAATCTGAATTAAAATTGTAATGATGCTGAATAAATGATGCCGCTTTCTGAGAACTGAATGTTGTTGCTGTGTTTAGTTATTTGTCATGTCTTGTGTTGGTCATTCAAAACTAAATATTGTACGTACAGGGTATATTTTGTCAACATTGGCTTGTGAGATAAATGTTAGGTTAGAACTGGATCGATAATCATAATGATTAAATAATGAAAGCATGTTGTGGCACACCTCCAAGCCCTTCAGGTCAGATATAGTGAATTATGAATGTACTATGGACTCCCGACATGCATGACACAGGCGACCCCCATATCACCTATGAACTTTTTTGTTAGCTGAACCCCTTTGGCATAAAATATGTAGAGGACATACCCCCTGAGATCTTAATTTAATATTCAATATTCATGGTTCCCTTTCAGTCAGTCACTCTTGACATCTCGTCGGTAATGACCGACGAACTGGGTCTCGCTTAGAGAGACCAATCCACTTTGAGTGTAAACTAAAAGAGCCAATGCACATTGGCATGCAATGATTGAATCCAGCTGCCGCTGATCGCAGCGTGAATATACAGTAATTAGGCAGCAGGTGCAATGCATACTCAGCTTTTTGTTTTGGAGCCGAGCGGTCATATCATTTTGAATTTCTAAAAGAGCATTCACGGGACTTTTTAAAGGAGCCCTTCCACCTGTGCACTTCTGGATGCGGTCGTTACCTGGCGCCGGGTGATGGTCACGTGTATGGGCGTTAAGTACGCTGAGGCAGCGTTTGTGGACGAGTCATGCTCTCATTGCGGGAGAATGACCGTTGCAGAGTTGCGGACCAGGCTCCGTTTCCTACAAAGGGGCGGGGTTCCAGTGCCTCTGCCTAGATCTAGTGTTCCTCCTGGCAAAAGCTGGGGGGTGCTACTTCTGGCAGTCGCCTGGCTGGTCTTATGGTGACGGTGAGGAATTCCCCTCCTCCTTCTGCCGGCACTTCACAGCCAGTGGAGCTGCTCAAGGAATGGGCTGGACCCTCCCATGGGGTACCACTCGTATCCTTCGGCGCTCCCTCCAATGATCGGATGTCGATCGCTGCATCGGGGCGTGAGCCAGACCTTTCTGGAGATGATGATCCGGCGGCGATGCCGCCTTATGGGCAGCTAGCAATGCCGGATACGGATACAGAAATGGTGGCTATGCTTGCCCGGGCCGCCGAGAGGGTTGGGCTCGAGTGGAAGCCTCCACTGTGTCCCGAACCCTCGAGGCTGGACGATTGGTTTCTTGGGGTGGCTCATGCTGGGGCAGCGTGGGCCGACGACGACTCTTCCCAGCCAGTGATAGCAGCGTCTCCACCATGACCGCCAACACCATCACCATCAACCTGCAGCTGCACGACGACACAGCAGCGTGTGGTCACAGGTATAAAACAAATTTTATGTATTTCATATGTCATAATATGTACATATAGGATATATATCGTTATATACCGTGTGTCATGAATTCCTGTTGCTTACCATAAATACATTATTGGTATTTACTGTAAATGTAATGTTAGATCATTTAAGCATGCTACTGTACAGTTCTTTCATAAATTAATGTATACAAATCCACAGTAAAGAAAAATCTCCCGTTTCTAACCATTTTCTTCATTTTGGACCAGGCAAGCGGAAACGGAGCCTGCACCATCAGGAACATCTGTTAAGAGAAATGCAGGTGGCAGACATTCAGCAACAGAAGCTGAACCGTGCCCAGAGGGAGCACCACTTGCAGATAGCACTTGAAGATGCCAGACAAGCAAGGGAGCAGGAAGCGGCCTTGAGGACAGAGGAACACTCTCAAACGGCTGCTTTCAATCAAGCATTCATCAACGTTATGGGGATGCTTGTCCAGGCAATGAGTGGCCGAAGGGAATAGAACTCTCTGGCCAAATAATGCCATAGGTATTTGTGTTTTTGCACCTTTTTTAAAATTTATTTTTGTTGTATTTGTCTTTTGTATATCCGTTTTGCACTACATACATTTGCACATTGTTTAAAGTTTGCTGCTTACAATTTCACTTACATTTTTTATGTATATCAGACAATTGTTTACAGTTCTTGCACAAGGTACACTGGCACATTGTTTAAAATTTACTTTTTATATTGTAATTTAAACTGTATTTATGCCTTATGTATATACTTTTTGTATTTTATATTTTTAGAGTAGGTTTTCTGTTTATATTTTTACCTTTCTTTGTTTTGCTTCAATAAAAACTATGATCAAATAAGTGTACCTCCTTACTATATTAACTATTTAATATTTTATGAGCAGGTAATGTATCTCTTGATAAAGAAAAAATTATTAATGCCATAATGATACAAACCAAGACATAAACAAGGGATACATTTTAAACTTTGAAAAATTGTACAAAAGTTTATTGAAAATTCACTTTACAGAACAGGCTACATGAATAGTTAACTATTCAAGTAACGCATCAGACCTGCATGAACATCCCTGCCCTCCTCCTCTACAGCCTGTGGCACTGCCACCACGGTCTCTGCTGCTGGTGGTAAATCCCAAGCATTCACATAGGCCTCTCCATGACTCTCACAAAGGTTATGTAGAGCACAACATGTCAGCACCATGGATTTCACAAGGTTGACAGCACAGTCATTTCTTTTCATGAGGCATCGCCATCTTCCTTTTAATCGACAAAAGGCATTTTCAACAACTACGCGTGCTCTGCAGATTTTCATGTTGTAGACCTGCTGTTCTGCTGTCAGGTGTCCAGTGTCAATGAATGGTTTTAAGAGCCAGTTCTGCAAGGGATAGGCAGAGTCTCCTAGGATGTAGCAGCCAGCAGTCACCCCACCTATGTTTCTG